CGCCGCCGCCGCCGCCGCCAGGGCCGCCCGCGAGCCCGCACGGGCTGCCGGTCGCGCCGCAGCGGGGCGGCCGCCGCTCGCCTCGCCTCGCCGGCGCCGGCCGCCCTTGCTCCCGCCGCGCACTTCGCTTCGGATGGAGAGCGGCCGCGGCCGCCGCGCACTCCAGCCGGGCTAGCGGGAGAGGCCGCTCCCGCGCGACGCCAGCCGAAGGATGATGGTGGAGGATGAGCGCGCCCCATCATGAGGGTCCCGCGGCCGGCAAGCGCGCGCCACGCCTGGATCGCCGCCCCGCTCGCCCTGCTCTGCCTGGCGGCGCCGGCGTGGCTGGCGCGCTCGGCGGCGGCCGTGGCGGGGCCGCAGGGCTGCCCGGCCGCCTGCTCGTGCAGCAACCAGTCCAGCAAGGTGGTGTGCACGCGGCGCGGGCTGGCCGGGGTGCCGCCGGGCATCCCCCCCAACACGCGCCACCTGAACCTGATGGAGAACAACATCCGGATGGTGCAGGCGGACACCTTCCGCCACCTGCGCCACCTGGAGGTGCTGCAGCTGGGGCGCAACGCCATCCGGCAGATCGAGGTGGGCGCCTTCAACGGCCTGGCCAGCCTCAACACGCTGGAGCTGTTCGACAACTGGCTGACGGTGGTGCCCAGCGGGGCCTTCGAGTACCTCTCCAAGCTGCGGGAGCTCTGGCTGCGCAACAACCCCATCGAGAGCATCTCGTCCTACGCCTTCAACCGCGTCCCCTCCCTGCTCCGCCTGGACCTGGGCGAGCTCAAGAAGCTGAAGTACATCTCCGAGGGGGCTTTCGAGGGCTTGTACAACCTCAAGTACCTTAACCTGGGCATGTGCAACATCCGGGACATGCCCAACCTCACGCCCCTGGTGGGGCTGGAGGAGCTGGAGATGTCCGGGAACAACTTCCCCGCCATCAGGCCGGGCGCCTTCCACGGCCTGAAGTCGCTCAAGAAGCTGTGGATCATGAGCTCCCAGATCAGCCTGATCGAGCGCAACGCCTTCGACGACCTCGCCGCGCTGGTGGAGCTCAACCTGGCCCACAACAACCTCACCTCTCTGCCCCACGACCTCTTTGCCCCGCTGCGCTACCTGGTGGAGCTGCACCTGCACCACAACCCCTGGAACTGCGACTGCGACGTCCTGTGGCTCTCCTGGTGGCTGCGGGAGTACATCCCCACCAACTCGACCTGCTGCGGGCGCTGCCACGCGCCCGCGCACATGCGGGGCCGCTTCCTGGTGGAGGTGGACCAGGCGGCCTTCCAGTGCTCGGCGCCCTTCATCATGGACGCCCCCCGGGACCTGAACATCTCGGAGGGGAGAGTCGCCGAGCTCAAGTGCCGGACGCCCTCCATGTCCTCGGTGCGGTGGCTGCTGCCCAACGGGACGGTGCTGAGCCACGCGTCCAACCACCCGCGGATCTCCGTCCTCAACGACGGCACCCTGAACTTCTCCCAAGTTTTCCTCACGGACACGGGGGTTTACACGTGCATGGTCACTAACGTGGCAGGGAATTCCAACGCCTCGGCCTACCTCAACGTGAGCACGGCCGAACTCAACACTTCCAATTACAGCTTCTTCACCACGGTCACCGTGGAGACCACGGAGACGTCGCCCGAGAACGCCTTCCCCAAGTTCACCAAGCCGGTGCCGACGACGGCCACGGGGTACCAGCCGGCCTACACCACCACCACCACCGTGCTCATCCAGACCACCAAGACGCCCAAGCAGGACCCCGCGGCGGACGACGGCAAGGCGCAGACCAGCCTGGACGAGGTGATGCGCACCACCAAGATCATCATCGGCTGCTTCGTGGCGGTGACGCTGCTGGCGGCGGCCATGCTGATCGTCTTCTACAAACTTCGTAAAAGGCACCAGCAGCGGAGCACCGTGGCGGCCGCCAGGACCGTGGAGATAATCCAGGTGGACGAGGACCTCCCGGCCTCGGCAGCAGCGGCCTCCGCCGCCTCTCCGGCCACGGCGGCTGCAGCAGGTGAGGGGGCAGTCGTACTGCCGGCTATTCCTGACCACATTAACTATAACACGTACAAACCGTCCCATGGGGCCCACTGGACAGAAAACTGTTTGGGGAACTCGCTGCACCCCACAGTTACGACTATTGCGGAACCCTATATAATTCAGACCCACCCCAAGGAGAAAGTGCAGGAAACTCAAATCTGACTCCTCCCTCGAGAAATTATTGAAAAAATTGCAATACACAGAACAGAAGCATCAGACATCAACTTTTGTACAGAGAGGGAGGGGTGGGGGTGGGCAGGTTTTTTTCCTTGTATATGCTTATATATTAAGTCCTTGGGCTGAGATAAAAGAAGCAGATTATATTAAAAACATACAGAAAAGCCTATTTTCTAACTTGTAAGCTCTATTTAAAAGGAGGCAACAACTGCAAAGCCCCCCCTCCCCCCCGCCAAACAAAAGAGACAGAATCTGTCATTGTGACTTTCTCCAATAAGACCTACAAAACACAAAGACAAGGGGGAAGATCGGGAAAAATATTCCAAAACCAGGGAGTTGCAGGGGGTGGTGGGATCCGTCCTTTTTAGAAGATGTTGCTTAGAATGCAGTAAAAGCAACCCTGTTTCTATAGAGACGCTCTTTTCTTAAAGCCCTGGAAAAAGAAAATCCCATATTTACAGTTACCTTATTTACAAAAAAGAAAAAAAAAGGAAAAAAAGGGGGGGAGAAAAGGGGGGGAGCGTGCCAGGGGTTTGTACTGTGCCAAAACATTACAAATGCAATAAAAGGTCCTTTTTCTTTTCTTTCTAAAAAGACAATTACCAGAAGGGAGACAGATGTATCAAACGGCAGAAAAGGGGGGGCCAGCAGGGACCTGCCCCCCACGAGGGGGCGGGGGGCCCGGCGGCAGGCCTAAGGGCGGGGGGCACGGGCCACGGCGCCCACCTCCTCGGCCTAGGGGAGGGAGGGCTGCTGGCCGGCCGGCCGGCCGCTCCTCACTGCGCCACATTCCTCGGCTCCTCCACCTGCGGTGCGCGGCGGGCCGGCCGGTGGGTGGGTGGGAGGCGGCGCGGGCCAGGGGCTCCGGTCGCTCGGGGCTTTGCGGCCGGCGAGGGCGAGCTGACACCTGATTGTAGACCCGGGAGCCGTTTGCGCTCCGGGTCATTTCTTCCTTGACCGGGAGGCACAGGGAGGCAGGGCTGGTGCCGGGGGGCTGGGGGCTCCTGCCCGCTGGGCCTCCCTTCCCGGAGCCCCTCCATGGCCCCCTGTCCCAGGCAGCGGGGCCAGCGCAGGGAATGGCCCCGGAGCCCCGCTGTCCCCTGCCTCGGGATGCAATGAGAGGCCGCAGGAGGGACGGGGGGGGGGGGCTGGCCCGGCCTGGGGGGGGCGGGCTTGGAGAGAGTTGTCTCTTCGGGGCTGCTGAAACCATTCCGCTCCTGACTTGGGTTGCTCAGGACAGTGTCAGAGGGCTTGGAATCTTAGGGGATGGGGAGGGAACCATTCAAAAGCCAGAATTATCTGACTGTAAATCTGAGACAACTGTATTTTTGTATTTTAATAAATATTGTTAACTTTTTAAATAATGGAATGTCCCTAAAGGATTACACTGAATGCCATGACCGAGTTGGACGTGTGTGGGGGGAGGGGGGCAGAAAAGCACCACATTTGCAAAGGTTTGGGGATGCAGAAAATGGCCTACAAAGAGGGGCTTTTTGTGGGGGGATGCAAGCAAGAAGCCTAGAAGGATCATTTCAAAGACGTGTTTAATTTCTCCAGAACCATGTCAGGCCGGCTTTCCTGGAATCCGGAGCGCTAGCGGCAGCCCCCGCGTCCTCTCCGGCTAGTGCGGTGGCTGGGAGGGCCGACTGCCAGGCCTGGCGCCCATGGGGGGGGGGGGGGGGGGGGGCCGGCTTTCCGGCCCCCCCGCCCCCGGGGGGAGGGGGGGGGGGGGGGGGCAGCAGGCCACAGGCTGAGGCGGGGAGGGAGCGCTTGCAACCCCTCAGGGCGCTGAGCCCAGGACAGCCCGGCAGGGGCAGCCCCGCCATTCGGGAAGCAAGGGAAGCTCCCCCCCCCCCGCCCACCGGCCAGCAGCCCCCTGCTCCGTCTGCAGGGACCACGCTGCCCCTCCAGTGGACAGGGTCCCATCGCGGGAGAGCCCAGGGGTCGGAGGAGAACGGGGAGAGCCGGCAGCCCGGCAGGGGATGCGGGGAGGTGGGCGGGGGCCTCCGCTCAGCCCTGGCCTGCAGAAACCACTTCCCTGGGCACACGTGTACCCTGCTTCGGCCAGTGAAGCAGGGGGGGATCCCTGCACCAGCGCACCCTTTTCTGGGGGGGTGCTATTCCGGCCCCCACTGCTCCGTTCCCCTGCAGGCCCGCCGCAGAAGTCCCGGCCAGGAGCAGCTGCTGTGCCTCGGGACGCTCTGCTGGGGGGCATCCCACTGAAGCAGACTGGCCTGCCAGGAAGCACAGGGCCAGCCGCCCCCCACCCCCAGGGGCTGCCTCTTCCCCTTGCCACGGCCACCACCGGATTCCTCCAGGTCTGGGGCAGGCAGACGAGGCCTGCCCCAGCTGCACTACCACCGCCCTAGAGAGACTCAGCAAGGTCCCTGCTCCCACGCGGCAGCCACCTCCTCCGGCGCGGTGCCCGGCTCCTCTGCCCCCGGCAGCTTCTCCTGTGGCGGAGAGGCCCGGACCAGCCATGGGCCCCCGCCCCCACCCCTGCAGTGCCACAGAGCACGTGTGGGGCATGCGGCCCCACCCTGCCAGGTGCGCGGCCCCGGGCTCGGTGCTTAGGCCACTGTGCCTGGGGCAGTCCTCCGAGGCCAGCCAGCAGACGGCAGAGGCCTCTGGTCCGCCCCATGCAAGCGCTCCGGGCCCCACGCGAGCACTTGCCGAGCCAGCACACGGGAGCCCTCTGCCCTCCAAGTACCCGCCCGCCCCACACAGGGCTGAGAGCTGGAGGGACGGCCTCCCCGAGGGGCTCCCCACGTGCTGCCGTTCCCTGCCCCAAGCGAGGCGCATCTGGAGCACCCCGACGAGCACCGGGACCGCAGTCACAACGGTCCAGTCGGCATCGCAGGGCGAGCCACACGCGCGGCCAGCTGTGCCGAGGTCGCCTCTTCTCACACTCGGACCTGCAGTCGAGACCCACCCTTAAGTCAGGAGCTGAAGGGCGGGCTTGGCAGGCAGGCTGGTGCCGTGCCGCGCCCCGGGCAGAACCGGGCCACAGAAAGGGGGCAAAGGCAACGTAAGGGGGGTGCTGCCAGGGACTGCGCTTGCGTGGTGTGGGGGGGAGGGAAGCACAAGCTGGGGGGCTCGAGCAGCCCAGGATGCCTCCCCCGGGGCGGGAGGCCGCCCCAGAGAGGAGAGCGCCTGCCCGCTGGGCCTCCGCACTCTCCACACCTCCACCTGGAGCCCCCAGCCCTTTTGGCTGCCCTGCCTGTTCGCCTACCCAAGGGCTCCCTGCAGCTCCACTTCCCGCCTCTGTTTCGGCTCCATCCCGGCCTTGCTGCTGCCCTTTCTGGTCTTCCGTTCCCCAGCACCCCAAACCAGCAAGGGGGCCGCCCCATAGCCCCGCCGCAGCAGCTGCCTTCAAGGCCAGCCTCGCTCTGGGTCGAAGGGAGTGGCCTCGGCAGGAGCCCCGAGCAGCGGCTGCCCGGGGGTCCCACGGGGCCCGTCCCGCCTCCCTGGGGAGCCCACAGACACGACCCTGGACCCACAGCACACGAACGGAGGGCCCGGCCACACCCTCGGTGGCAGGACGTGGCGCAACGGCAAAGACGCGAGGAAGACGTGTGGGGGGGGGCGGCCACGCTCCTCACGCCCCTGGCTTTCAAACGGGCTCACTGTGACAACGACGAGCGCATGCCTTCATCCTGAGATGCTTTCATGGGCCACAATGCAGGCGGGGAATCCCAAGGACGGCTTCAGCTGCCCATGCAAGGCGCATGGTTGGGAAATGCTTCGCCCAGGATAAATGCGCAGCCAGGGAGCAGAGCCAGCCGCCCTCCGGGGGGGGGGGGGCACCTGGCAGTTCTCATGTCCTGTCACGAAGCCCTGATTTGGGGGGCTGTGCTATTAGCATCACTACCTTGTAGGGTCCCCTTGTGCAAACTTGCTCCACAGTCACATCTACCAAAGAATTAAAGCAACCTGTGCAGGAAAAATGGGATTGGAGTGTGTGTTCACATGGTGGGGGGGGGGGGGGAGGAGGGGGGGGAAAGGGGGGTTCTGGGAAGGCAACTCAGAGTCCTCCCAGGGGCTTGTGGGGGGCTGAGGGTGACAGGCTCAGAGGAGCCAGGGCAGGGGTGCCTGGAGGACAGCTCGAGCAGGGCCCGAAGGCCACGCTGCACCCGGGGCAGCATCCCTGGGCCTGCACCTGCCGTGTCTCCGGGGTTCCCGCAGCTCCTCCTGCCCATCCTCCCCGGTGCCTTTCCTCATTTCACGAGCTCAGATGTGCCAGCCCATCCCTGTGTTAAAGATGGCGGCCAGCACCTCCTCCTGCGGCAGCAGGTTCCTCCGGCAGCGCTCTGTCCCAGGCCTCCCACCCACCCGCCTCAAGGGACAACCTGCGCTCGAGTGCCTGGGAGGGGGAGCAAATGCCCCCAGTTCCTCCACACAAGGCCCCGTCCCCCGTCCTGCCTCCCTCCCAAGCTGGACAGCCCCGGCGGTCGCAGCCTCTCCTCACAGGGAGCGGCCCCAGCCCCAGCCCCAGCGCCCTCTTTGCCTTTCTCCGTGCCCTTTTCCAGGTAAGGCATCCAAGTGGTGCCCACGGAGGATTGTGGGAGGGGTGGGACCTCCGTGGGGCTGTGCCGTTCCATCCTCGCCGTGCCTCCGGGGGAGCCTCATCTGCCACAGCACCATCGAGGTTCCGGCCACCGCCGCCCGAGATCCCTTCCCGGCTCAGTCCCTGCCCGCACTGCTGCTACTGAACTAGCCCCTGCTGAGGGGGCCAGCGGGCCGCTCCCCCTCAAGCGCCCCATTCTGGAAAGGGATCCCGGCTCTGGGTGGAACAAGATTCAAGCCCCGGGCCAGGCCTGGGGAAGTGCGGCCAGGCGGGGAGCCGCTGAAAGCTGCCCCGGTGGCTTCGCATGCGGGGAGGATCCTGCGAAGGGCCGGCCCGCCTGGCAAGCCCTTCGGATGCGGGGCAGTGCTGCCCAGGGGGGGAGCATCCCAGGCACTCGCTCCATTTCCCCACGTCTGGAACTTTCTCAGGAACAAATCCTGCCAGGCGACTCTAATTCCACTTTTTGA